TTCATCACTCCAATATACGCTGACAAAAGCTAGACAAAGTACGTCACTAAAGTTTGTTATCAACATTTTCAAAACTATTTACTAAAGATACAGATAAAAACACCCTGGCATCTACTTGGTGCTTTGTTTGTAGGTAAGCATAAAGCTACACAAGTGGCTATCTGTGCTGTGCCACCACGGGTATTGAAACCCAGTGTTTAGTGTTATGAATCTGCAAACTTGCCGCTGTGCTACTGGTGGTGGCGGTTCTAGTTGGTGCCATGATTTTTGATGCTATAGCCTTGCATCTTTTTTGTAATATGTTCAAAACCAAAAATATAACAATATATCCAAGAGATTTGGTCAGACCAAACTAAGTTACCAAACTGAGCTACAAATTAACTGAACTTGTAAATATAATCTGTGTATATAAGCGCGAATCTCTCTCTCTCTGTTTCTGTTTCGTATGTACGGTCGCATCTTTATAGCTACAAACTCCAAATTTGGGGTACATATACAACTTTGTGCGGGAAGGAACATGGGCTATGTGGCCGTGGCCTCAGAGGCTAAATTGAAACCAAAGTGACCAATATAGCAATTTTTGGCAAACAGGACGACCAATTGGTTTCAAATTGAAAAGGCCGGATTATGAATTTTTTTTTCGTAATGTGTGATCAAGAGGGCTATTATTACCTTTCTTCTCTGTGTGAGGACTTCTCCTAATCAAAACCTTGTGGAGCCTTCATTTGTGCTCTTTCCCTTCCTCTCTTTTTATTCTAGACGTATATACCTACTCTCTAACTCCCCTTAACTGAAAAAGGCTGGTGCTTTCAATTATAGATGCGCGAACACTCCCTCAACTAAATAGGCTTGCTTCAGCCGCCCTCCAGTGACACAGCGGTATGTCTGCGGACTTACAACGCTAGAATCCGGGTTTCAATACCCGTGGTGGGCAGAGCACAGATAGCCAATTGTGTAGCTTTGTGCTTGATTACAAACAAACAAACAATTGCTTCAGCCATATCTTTTCCTTTGCGTGCGTGTACTCGCAAGAATCAGCTATAAGATGACTTTACAAAAACGTTTGGTATCGGCAAATTTCCATTTATGGTGTGTTTCAACGAGTAGAGAAATGTTATACAAAGCACATAGAAAAA